TTGAATTTGCAGAATGGCACTATTGTCACAGATGTTGGAACGGGAGTGATGACATTATCGCCTTATTCGTTTGTGTCTTTTACAGATATTCTTGGCAACATAGACGTGGACTACTTGATTGGTAGTATACCTTATGACTTAGTATTATTTTTCATGTCTTTTCGTATATTTTTATAGTTGTCAACTAAAGTTCTAATTTCTTAAATATTTTTCAGATGTAATTGGTATTTTGTCTTCTGTTGATCGTGAAAAGGTGTATGAAAGGAATCGCGTAGATAATCAATTTAAAGTTATTGAGTTGAAATCCAATGGCTAATATATTACATGTGAGTTATATCGTATGTTGTCATGTAATACTCTAATAGTTTGTCTGATTAAATTTTATAACTCATATAGAATTAAGCTCGAATGCACGCTATTTAGACCGTATGTTGAAGCCCTTGACGCATTTCTGCAATCTAGCTGTAATGGAAATGTTGTTGTGGTTCCTCAGTATCTGAAAGTGAAATTGTATAATGGAAAGGTCCAACTTCAAAATGCAATTAACTCTACTAAGCTTTTGTTCAACCCTGAAACTCCTGAGGTAGACAATTTAAAGGTCCGCGACAACATTGGTTCCCCTACACAACCATTTAGTTATATGAAGGATACTTCAGAGATAAGTTTAGAAGATGAATTTATGAACTTGGGTCAATGTAAAACTATTGAGGAACTGAAGGACTGTCAAGATGTAATAGTTTTCCATCAGCTAAATTACTTCAGCTGGATTGTCTACTTTTTATTTTGTTAAGTTAACATGATTGTTTTATTTTATGTGTAGAATATTATTTGTATTGTGTTAGGGACAATCAAGCATGTTATTGGTGGCATTGATTGGTGATATGCTGCATGTGTCTGCAACAAGGGTGTTGTTACAAACTCTAAAAGGATTTTCTGCACTAAGTGCGAAAAGCATGTTTGGACAATTGTGCCAAGGTATTTCATTGTTAATTACGTTTATACTTTGTTAATAATTATTGTTTGTGTTTATGGATTACGGATTACCTAAACAGGTACCATATAAAACTCAGGGTGATTGATGAAATCGATTCTGCCACATTCATAGTTTTTGATCGTGATTTCTATCTACTAACAAAGAAAACGCGTGTTGATTTGATTGATCAAATGGATCGTGTTAGTGTTTCATTCTTACACCAATCTATTACCTATTGTAGGTTGTATTATTAGATGTTATCTGATAATTTCTGTTTGTAACATTTCGGATTTTAGGATGATGATCCAACCATTTTGCCAGGTGTTATTGGTGAATTGGTTGAACAAATTATGCTCTTTAAGATTGTTGTGAACAATGACGTGAACTCTGGGTTTGAACAGTCATTTTGTGTCAAGAAATTGTGTTCTGACCAAGATATCATGGCTATGTTCAAAAAATTTGTTCAAGTATGATATATTGAATTACTTATTGACTTACATAGTTGCTTATCGTTGTAGTTGAACTTCATTATAAGTCTTCGTACATTCTTTATTAATATCAATGTATGTTTAATGTTAATATAGAACTCTGGTGTTGTTCATAATGAAGTATATGTTGTTGTGGTTCAAGATCTGGACAGCAAGTTTAATAACATTGTTGTTGAGGAGAAATATGGAGATAATGGTTCGGCATCCAAACTTATTGAAGAAGATGTTGCTGAAAGCACTCCTGTTAAAAGGGGCATATATGAAGTTGCTAATGAAAATGACGGAGCTAGTTGAAGAATTACGAAAAGTATTAAGATTGAGAAGGACTGTTTGGCATGTGCCTTCTTTTAGTCTTATTTTATAACAATAGCAGCAAATTCACATTTAAATGTCATGGGAGATTCCTATGTTTGTTTTTGGGGACGTATGTTTATGTTAAGCTCGAATTTTCTTTTTTTAGTTTTGGTTTATGTTACAATTTTTGGTGTTGTTTGTTATTTTTCTTGGAATACTTTAGGTATTGTGTTACGACATTCTGTTGTTGTGTTTGTTATTTTAATCCATTTTGGAGCAATACAAATATGTTAAGTATTTTATTTTATTCAACGATGTATTGCTGGTATTCCTGCTATTCTGTTCATTTCATATATCTACTTTTGTTAGTATTTTTTAACGTTATCTGTTAAGTAGTAATCATATATATGTTGTCTGTTAAGTAATTATAACACACTGCAGGTATGTAATTCCATACCAACTATGATTAACATTTTGCACATTGTATAGATTTTTATGTTATAGTGTGATTCATAAAGCACTGAGCAACTTCGAAGGATGCATGTACAATGTAAACAAATATTTTGTCTTTGTTATATTCATGATGTAAATGTTTGCCTAAGTTTAAAAATAATAATTAATGAAGTTTCTTGGATTGAAGTGTGATAATTAATAAATAGCCCAATAAACTTTGGTTGTTGTATTTTTATTATTTTTATTGATTCAATCATTATTTTGTTGTACCGTTAAAGGCTTGACAACTTTGTTGGGAACCTATTGCATTTAATATTCCAACAATTTCAATGTCACTCCCCAATAGATGCTTCCATCTTTTGATATTCTTTTGCATACACACTTACGTAATAGTATATATATATATATATATATATATATATATATATATATATATATAGTGAATGCGTGTATATTTTGGATCCCTTTTACACATCTATTCCATCACTCACTCATATTTAATAGGTAGTAATCTATATCGTTGTCCATGGATGAAAATGGCTCATCAAATGCCAGGCATCGGAGGAAGATGATATTGCAAAGGAAAAAATCTAAACATATTCAAAAAGTCATAAGTTTGTAGATGGAACCATTCATGGTAACAATTTTACTATACCATATGAAGTATAATTTTATGTTCTTTTGTGTTAGACGAAAATGTTACCCCTGTTATGCATACCGTCATGCTTGGAGGTTCATACTGTGTACAACTACTTGTTGTGAGAACTCCATTGTCTATATTAATAACATGTAAATTCTCCATATCATTTTTATATTCTATATATTTGATTACAATTTTGGCCATTTGTTATTTACAAATCTGTCTATTCTTAATATTGTAATTTTTAATATGTTGTAACTACTAGTGTAACCACTTATGCGAAGACTATAGAAAGTGTTGTTGTTGAGAATGATGGTTGTACATTTTTTTCCAAACATAAGCAACCACCACTGTCTAATTCGTGCACACCTATTTCAGAAATAATTAATCCAACTTCCGTGCAACTTTCCAAATATGTACGTCAACCTACCCATGTTCTTGAGTTGATCCATTCCTCCCCCTTCAACTTTCCTGCAACTGAAGATTCACATACATATACCACTAATGTTGCATGTATGTTTTTTCTTTACCAATTAGTTGAATTTGAATGGTTTATTATTTGGAAGTTATTAATGGTTGTTAATTTTCCACATCATGTTCGAATGTAAATGACCCAACAGGAGTTATTCGTCACAACGGATATGAGGAAGTTGAATCTCAAGGTGAACGCACATTGAAGTTCCATTTTGATGTCTTTTTAACTATAACAATAATAATTATGTCATACAATTATGCATAATCTGCTTATTTGTTTCTTTGTATCACATCGAAAATTATGGATTTTGGATCTTCGTCGTATAATTGTTCTCATTGTGGTGCTCATATGTGGTATGAGGAGCGGCCCGACAAATGTGACAACACAACCCTAAATGTTAAATTTTCCCTCTGCTGTATGAAGGCAGTAGTTGACCTACCGTATGAAAACCGGCCTCCAGAAATGCTACGTAAACTAATGAACGGCTAAGACTATATAAGTAAACATTACAAAGACAACATCTGAGCATATAATAGTATGTTCTGTTTTACCTCTATGGGTGGTAAGATTTAGTCGAACTATCACAGTGGTCCTCTCTAATTTATTCTTGGTGGACAAAATTTTCACATGATTGGCAGTCTGATTCCAGAAGATGGAGTGGTTCCCAAATTTGCCCAGCTCTATATTCATGACACAACAAATGATATAAACAACAGACTTTCCCATTTCAGGTATATTGTATTGCTTAATTATTTTGTTTTGAATACTATGTTCATGAATGAAAATTGTTTTCATTCTCCAGTTCAAACGATCCCAAAACAACTTAGGTACATCTTTAGTTAAAGACATTACCAAGATGATTAATGAACACAATGTGTTAGCCAAATCTATTAGAAAAGTTCGTGACCATGTTCAATGTGACAAGTCATCCAATTTTTGTTTGATATTGGTTAGGAACAGAACAAAAGATCCAAGAAAACATAATCGTTCCTCATGTTCTGAGGTTGCTGCATTAATTGTAGATGATCTTGAAAACCTTGAACCGGGTCGAGACATTATTGTTAGGAAGACGTCTAGACATTTGGAAAAAATCAAAGATACTTATGTTTCATTCCTACCACTACAATATCCTATGTTATTCCCTTACGGTGAAGACCAGTATACTAACATTCCATATAGAGAGTCTGTTATCCGAGAAGGAATTCGAAAGCGGCTGCGAGTTACATTCAGAGAGTTTATCGTTTTTCGCATTCAGGAAAGAGATTTCGAACCTGGAACCATTGTTAATGCTGGCAGGTTGTTTCAGCAGTTTGTTATGGACAATTTTTCGATAATTGAGTCACAGAGGTTGAATTAGTTACGCATGAACCAATCATCAATAAGATCTGATATCTTAAGTGGATTACAGGAAGTTGTCCATAGCGGAGAAATTAATCCATCTGCAGTAGGAAAACGTGTTATACTGCCTACATCTTTTACCGGCGATCCAAGATACATGTTTAACAATTATCTGAATGCAATGGCAATTTGCAAAAAAATTGGTTAACCTGATTTGTTCATTACCATCACGTACAATGCTAATTGGCCAGAAATTAAAAACTTTGTTACATTGCAAGGCCTTGCACCGAGTGATAATCCGACTCTGTTTCCAGAGTCTTTTAGGCAAAGCTTAATGAAATGATGAGTGATTTTAAAAAGGAACAAATTTTCGGGAACGTCGTTGCAGGTAATGGAACAACTTATTTGGAGTGTTATTGATTATTTATATATATAACTACAACAATTTTTATTTAAATTTCCATGGTTGCTTAGGTACTTACATCATAGAGTTTCAGAAGAGGGGTCTGCCACACACACATATTTTGTTATGGCTCAATACATCAAATTCGTTAAAAAGAGGTGCTGACATAGACAAATTCATATCTGCAGAGCTACCTGATGGAAATCTGTATCCTAAACTTTCAAGTGTTGTTTCAAATATTATGATGCATGGACCATGCAAAAAGGACAATGTAAATTCCCTATGCATGAAAGATGGAAAGTGCTCAAATTTTTTCCCAAAAGGATTACCAAAGTTCCACCATAGTGAATGAAGAGGGCTATCCAAAGTATATGCAACGAGATTCTGGTCTGTCTGTTCAAAAAAGGGAATGAGTTTGAACAATAGGTATGTAGCTCCTTACAATCCCAAATTATTGGTGAGATATCAGGCACATATCAATGTTGAGTATTGCAACAAGGGAAATGTTATCAAGTATTGGTTTAAATATGTTAACAAGGGCCCTGACAGAGCGACCATTGAGATTTCAAACAGATCTGAAGACAGACATGTTTTGGATGAAATAAAACAATATTATGAATGTGGTTATTTGGCACCCTTTGTGGCTGTCTGGAGAATTTTTGAGTTTGACATACATCATAGGTGGCCTCCTGTGATAAGGATTACTTTTCACCTTGAAAACGAGCAGTCAATAATGTTTTCAGAAAGTCATACAATTGAGTCTATCATAAACCGTAATGTAGACATTGGCACCATGTTTTTGGCTTGCTTCGAGGCAAATAAACAATATCCACAAGGACGATGTTTGACTTATGATGAATTTCCTACAATGTTTGTTTATGATAAAAAAGAACAAAGAGTGGCGTCCAAGTCAAAGAGGTAAATCTATTGGAAGGCTTACTTATATTCCCCCTGAATGTGGTAATTTTTTATATTCAAGGCTATTGTTGACTTTACAAAAGGGTTGCACATGTTACAATGATATTAAAATTATTTCTGGCACAATGCACAAAACCTACAAGGAATCAGGTGTCGTATTGGGGTTGTTACGGAATTTATGTATCCTATTACAGAAGCAAGTCAGGTGGCCTCCGGTAACCAGTTGAGGAAATTGTTTGTTATGTTATTGTATATGGACTCAATGACAAATCCTTATGTCGTTTGGGACGCTACGTGGAAACTCGCGTGCAGTGGAATTTTGTATGATGCAAGGAAGCGACTGAAAAACTCAGGTACTAATATATATATATATATATATATATATATATATATATATATATATATATATATATATATATATATATATATATATATATATATATATATATATATATATATATATATATATATATATATATATATATATATATATATATATATATATGTTTGATCAATATTTTACTTTGTTAGTGAATTATGTTGAAATACATGAATTATTTTGCAGGGCTTCAGATTGCTGATGATGAATTCAAGAATCTGTGTTTGATTGAGATCGAAAAGTTGTTTTCGTCCAAAGGTAAATCTCTTGAGGACTTTGAGTCCATGCCACAACCCTCACATTTCGAAATGGATCAATTTAGGAATAGTTTCATGGCTGCTAAATTAAACTATGACAAGGAAATTTTGGCTCCAATTCACATGACAATGATGTCAAGCCTGACTGCTGAACAAAAGTCGATTTATAAAGAAATTATGAACTTCGTTACAACGTGATCTGGAGGATTTTACTTCTTACATGGATATGGAGGAACGTGAAAAACATTCATTTGGAAAACTTTTTCAACAGCGATTAGGTCACAAGGATTGATTGTTTTAAATGTTGCTTCAAGTGGGATTGTTGTTTTATTGTTACCTGGAGATAAAAAAAGCTCACTCTATATTATGTATTGCGTTAGTTACAACTGAGACATCTACGCGCAACATAAAAAAATGCACCGACAGATGCAATCTCATATTGTATTCTGCACTTATAATATGGGATGAAGCGCCAATGTTGAATCGATTTTGTGCCGAGGTTGTTGATCACTCTTTAAGGGATATAATAAGGACTGTAGATGATTCAAATCAATATAAACCATTTGGGGGAAAGGTGGTTGTGTTTGGTGGAGATTTTAGGCAAATATTACATGTGGTCAGAAAGGGTTATAGGAACGACATTGTATTGGCTTCAATAAACTCATCCAAACTGTGGAAATATTGCAAGGTACTGAGTTGGACAAAAAAATGTGACTGTCCACAACAAACTCCTATCAAGACTCAGGTGAAATACAAAATTTCTCAAACTAGATGATTGATATTGGAAATGGTAAACAATGCTTAGATGAATATGGAGAAAGCACAATTCAAATCCTATACGACTTATTAGTTCCACATTCAAATAATCCTCTCTTATCTCTGGTTGAAGTAATGTATCCACTTCTTTTACAAAACATGAACAATCTGAAATACTATGAAGAAAGGAGATTAATTTCTCCTACTCATGATGCAGTAGATGTTGTTAATGATTTTGTATTGTCATTGATTCCAGGTACTGAAAAGGAATATCTCAGTTCTAACACAATTGTTATTTCTGATGAAAATTCTTCAGTTCATGCATATTGGTTCACACCAGAGTTTCTAAATGACATGAAATGTTAGGGTATGACAAATCACTAATTAAAGTTAAAGATTGGTGTTCCAGTCATGCTGCTCACGAACATAGACCAGTCTAATGGGCTATGCAATGTCACAAGGTTGTTGATAAATGAACTCTGTCAAAACATTATTGATGCCACTTTCATCGCAGGAAAAAAACATGGTTGATAAAATTTACATACCAAGGATGAATCTAATTCCTTCCGATCTGAGTTTTCGATTTAAGTTTCAGAGGCAGAAATTTCCAATTGCCTTGTATTTTGCAATGACCATAAATAAGAGCCAAGACCAATCATTATCATAGGTCGGTTTGTATTTACAATGCCCAATATTCACTCATGGTCGATTGTTCATTGTTGTTTCAAGGGTTAAGTCTAGAAAGGTATTGGAGATTCTTATATTAGATGGTGAAGGAAACCCGTGTACGAAAACTATAAATGTTATGTACAACGAGGTTTTCGATAATTTGTAACATTGCGGAAAGTGGCAAATATTTTTTTTCCAATTTGTTAGGATGTTTCACTATAACTATGTAATAGAATTGAAACTTTGTATTATATGCAAAATCATTATTTTTTGACAATTAACATCCTGATACAATACGAACGTCATTGTTTCGTTGTTATATAATGTTTTCGTATATAAAGTGTTTCATGGCTATAAAATATTGTTATATGACATACTTCATGGACATAAATTAGCTATAAAATTTATGTATACTGGATTATTCAATGTGTTAGCAACCGTATAAAACAAATCCATGGCATAATTGTGTTTTAGCATAATCTTCATATTGATTTCGTTTTCCCCTCAAGTCTCATATTAAACAGTTTGTTACAAACATTAATTGTTCATCACTATTTTTTTCATTAGATGACCAATTGAAAACAATTTATTTCAAAACTCTCTTTAAAATCACTCTGCATAAAATAGGGATGAACTTTACATTAACCAAACTAATCAAACCATTCATAGGGTTGCACATTTGATGGGATCTTCCTAAAGCCCCATATGCTAATAGCTATCACAAAAACAACCAACCATCATAGCCATCACAACCATTATAGCAAGGAAACATCTATTTTATGCAGTTTTGGAAACAATCAGTGTTCCAACAACCATAACAATCAGTTCTTCCTTACTAACAATATAATAGTTCATAACTGTTAACAACAACTTGTGCTATTACTACATCACAATGATATCATACAAATGCCTTAGCAACAACATCTTTCTATATCGTTTATGGAAAATTATGCAATTACTACATCAACTATAATATCTAAAGTACATGTCATATATGGCAACAAGTCCATTGATACTAAAATTAAAACACAACCATTACATTTGTTCATTCAAAGTTTCGTACACTATTTTTAAACCAAAACCACCAAAATGATACACAGATTACACCTTCATATCTGAGACATCATTCCACCTGGATCAATCCTTATCAACTGACACCAAAAAACATCTTGCGGGAGGGTACTAAATAGAGAATTTCAACAAATTTCCTTTTCCCAAACGTCGCGCTTCTACAAATTTGTACCAACCTTTGCAGATGTACATTTCAATCTTAGTCAGATCATTACGAGTCTTCAACTTGCACTGGTATTTCTTTCCCATATCAGTGTCGTGGATTGTAATTGAACTTTGTGGCTCTGTAAAACACTGCTTTATAACGACAGCCATAAATTGCTGCCCAATAACATAATAAAAATTACTGATTACCAAACCATTTTACATACATCATTTATATGTGTAGAATATATAATGTGCAACTTACAAACACGTTTTTCCGAATTTTCTTGCATCATTAACCCGTCTAGTCCATTTCCACACATTTCAGGGACAGGAATTACCAACTTTGGAAGCTGCTACCAACCCCTCTGACTCACTACGTTTTCATAACATGCAACATACAAAAAACTCGTTAACAGTGATATGTTTCAATGTTTCTATTTATTTTAAACACTCAAAAAATTAATTACAACATAAACATTAAATACTACTTTAATTATGCGTTCAATACATCTTAATAATAGAAACTAAAACACTTTACCTTTCACTTTCAGATGATATTGATATGTGAGAATGAACAGGGCTTGTAATCCTTTTCCCTTTATCTGTCTCAGCATCAGCACTTTGAATGAACTCCTTGGCAAGATCCTTTAGTTCAACATCATGTTTACCTCCTTCATCAGCTGATGCCAGCACACTCCCTTTGATTAAGTCAGAAATAACACCTTTGATGTCCTGCTTAGAAATTTCTTTCAGTTCAAGTTCATATTTTCCTCCAACATCACACGCTCCTAGCATCTCTACACAAAATTCTTCGTAGCTAAACGTTTTCCTGATCTTTTTTTCCTAGAGCAATCGCTATTCCTCATGATCTAGATAACAGAGGTACATCTGTTGACGCTCATTTTCGTCAAAATGTCAAAGCTTGAGTTTTTCAGCTCTGCAACAAATAACAACATGCAACACACATTGTTTATACATTGTGCATGCTGCTAACATCATGTTTTCATTCTCTCTACCTCTACGAGTAACCAGAAAAATTAACGATTCTACAACAATCCTTATCAATCTGTAACGATTTTAAAGCTTTCATAGATAAACTTTTTTTTCATGATTATGAATCCTTACCCGGTTACACGCACGACTTTCTCCCCTAAGCTCATTCTCACCAATAAACTTAGAAGATCGTCTTTATAAGAAAGGGTTTTCGTTTGGATGCTGCCGATGTTGAAATGTTAAATTAGATTTGTTAAAATATTAGATTATATTTGATTTTGTATTTAAATATAATCCAAGTTGTGTAGACCCAAGCCCGATTAGGATTGTGTATAAATAATCATAGTCTGTATCATTATTTGTATAATTCAATAATACAAATCATTATTTCCTTTATTATTTTCTCTCTTTCTCTCCTCACTAAAAGTGCCTCACGCACTAGCAAATTGGTATCCCGAGCTTTTGATTATTTTTCTTGATCGAGTTTTCAAGAATTTCACGTTAGAGATCGTGTTTCCAAGGCAAGTGAATCAACCGTTGCAAAGATGGCTAGGGATAAGGGCATTGCAAATTCTCTTTCAATGCTTGATGACAAGAATTGGATCTGATGGAAAAAACATATGCAATACTTGTTTGACTTCCATGAAACCCTAGAAGTAGTTATCGACGGTGTTCCTGCATTGGTTGAAAATGCAACTGAAATACAGAAAAAAGCCCACAACGAAGTCAAGAAGAAAGATTACAAGGCTACTTATTGCATTCAGACAGCGGTCGATGCTGCTAATTTTTACAGAATCTCTCATGCTGAAACAACGAAGGAGGCATGGGATATTCTGGTGAAGTATTTCAAAAGAGGTGAAAAAGTAATGGTTTTTAAGTTACAAACCTTGCGTTGACAATATGAGTTGTTGTCGATGGGAGAAGATGAAAAAGTTGGAGAATATGTGTCGAAGGTTCAAAAACTCGTCCATTTCATGAAGGGTTGTAGTGGAACCATAATTGATAAGATGATAGTTTAGAAGGTAATGAGAACATTGACCTCTCACTTTGATCATGTTATCGTAGCTATTCAAGAATCCAACAATCTTGAAACCATAAAAGTGGAAGATTTGGTTGGTTTGTTGGAAGTGCATGAGATGAGGATTGTCGAAAGGAAATGAGTTCAGGACTCGATACAGGAGATGTAATCTCACTCATGGAAAAATAATGGTGATTCCAACAAATTAAAATGCAAAATCGACAAGAGTCATGAAAAGAAGTTGGTTGAACCCTCACAAGCATCAGGTCGAAGATAGAGCTTCTGAATCCTCGAAAAGAGGAGTATGAAACTATCGAAAGGATAAAGACGATAGAAAAGGTATGCAGTTCTATAACTGTGAAAAGTGGGGTCATGTAGCCAAGAATTGTTGGTACAAAAAAGAAAAGGAATCGACAAGCAAGGTCGAAGGAGCGAACCTTGCACGCCAAGACTTAGATGATTATGAAGGTGGTATGGTGGTTATGGTTGCAGTTGTAGATAACCATGCCAAATCCAATATCTGGTTCCTCGACTCAGGCTGCTCGAATCACATTATCGTACCCCAAATTTGCCCTACCTTTACGATCATATGTTTCAGGTTAAACATACAAGAGAAATGTTTTAATTAAGGATGGTCCAACAATATCCGATGGCTCATTCTTAAATCCAAGTCAACCAGGGAGTGTATTTTAATTCAGGGGAATGGGGCTTTCTAAGTCAGAAAGACCCATATACCTGTGGGCCCATTTGTGAAGCATGTTGACCAATGGCCCATGAGATTCGAATATGGAAAATTATTAAATTCTTAATTATAAAGCCCATTTAGGTTTTGTTGTAAAAAGAAAGGGTGAGATTACAAGCGGAAGCTCATTTCATTAGGCCCATTTTCGTAGGGCAATACATAGTAAAGAGGGGGTATGCTTATCAATTTATAGGCCCATTAAGATTTTTTAATAAAACTAATGCATTTTGTGGTCTTGCATTATTACTGTTTTAGAAAAAAGACATTATTATTAAAACTTCTTGCTATTATTATTATAAAAAAAAGGAGAGTATATATTTCTTTGTTAAGAAAACGTTATGTTTTTATTATTATTGTTAAAAAAAATTTATAATAATGTTTTTATATCAAATATTATTTATAGTAGTGTTTTTTCTATTTATTAAGAATTGTTGTCTGCTGGATCAAACTTGTTAGGCCCAATCTGTATTGAAAAAAACCGCAAGTTGGACAGTAAGTAAGTAATAACGCAGGCCCAAATAGAATAATTGGCACTGTGCAAATCAAAGCAGAAAATACGCATTTCATTCAATTAACATCTACTGTGCAGATCTGAAAACCAAATCAAATCTTATTGAAAAAAAACAAAACCTAAAAAAGTACAGAATTGAAAGCTATAACTAAATCAAATCTAAAACACAATTTTTCTGCGAATCAAATTAATACCAAATCAAATATTTTATGCAAAAAGAAATCTCTATTACAGTCCAAACATTAAAACAATCCCAAAATCCATTACAAACAGTTCAAATCTCTAATGCACAGAATCAAATCTCAGAAAAAGATATATTACAATAAATTGTGAATCAATTAACAGAATCTCTAATTCTTCTATAAACCCTAAATCTAAGCTAACTAATTTTGCTAAACAATTTTGTAACGATAATAAAAAAATCTAACCCTATAAATAGTGGACTGGAATACAGAGGCAGCGAGGAAGATTGAGAAGAACTTGAGAACATGAAGAATGCGAAGAATGAACGAAGTTGTTGTTGAAGATCTGAAAGGAGGATGATTAGGGTTTCAACATCTGAAACCCTAATCATCATTGCTGCCGTGCCGCCGACCATCAACTTCAAGCTCCACCGTGACCTGCAAATAAAAGAAGACAAAGAGAGATTAGCTGGGAATCAAACCAAAAGCTTGAAGTTAGAAA